AATTTTTCAAGAAATATTTTTCATTTGTTCTTCACAGTTATTCCTATTATTCACTGGGATATTGAAGACTGGGATATTAATGCAAAGTCAAAAATTTTCTACTAATAAAATAAAAAGTAGAACAAAACATATTTCTGTGCACTTTCAGTACCCATTAACCAGGAAAGGAACATTAATAAATGAATTTATGTAGTCTTTGATCTGTTCTTTGATTAAACTATCAAAAAAAGGATCATAAATCTCAGAAACATTAGAAAATAACATCCTTTCTTTTCTCATTGCTAGAAAAACCCTGTCTAAAGTTAAGACKAATGATTTCACAGTAGGGATGAACTTTCATGAGAGAAAATTTGGTTTTGTGGGTTTTGTTTTGTTTTGTTTAAATTATGACTTATGTGCCTTGAGTCTGTTCCCAAACTTCATCATTTGCTTTCRTGGTAAGCTYGGAAAGTTAGTTCACTTTCTTCTCTGCACATATTATAAATCAATAGCTTAATATAATCCACAACATGTAATTTAACTTCATTTAACTGACCTCCTTCAGCTGAGCAGATGACCACAATAGGGCTGAAGGGACCATCTCCTTTATTGTTGTAAACACCAACTTTCACTTCAAAAGGAGTCAGAGGTGGCACACTTTCATCTCTGTAGATGAATTTTGAAGCATCTGAAGATGTCACCATTTTTTCCTTCCACCCACGTGTTCCATTTGGTCTGAAGGCTACAATATATCCAAATCCTTCTCCACTCTGAAACTCTTCTGACACTGGCTGAAAAATTAAGTTCAGAAACTTAATTATGATCAGAAATTGTTTTACTAATTTAGAAAACACTCATGGTTGCATTATAGGATTTTACTTATCTGGTAAATAAATTGTCCTCATAAGGACAATTACTTCCAAAGAGGACCCTTATAAGAGAGCTTCCTCACCTAATCACCAGAGCTCATAAAAATGTTTTCTTTTATATATCCCACTTCTTAACCTGTTGTCTATTGGTGCAATAGCCCCTATCAGTGGCTTTRTTAAAAATATGTGGCAATATATTGTGAGTAACACAATGTGTAKGATACTAACCACGGTGGGACTCTTTTGGGTTTCAGTAGTCAGCCTGTGTAAGTTCTGTTCCAAATGGAAAATTAAGTCTTAGAGATTTAATTYCAGGGTTCAACTTCAGCCTTAGAATACCTTACAATAAATATAAGTTTTTCTAATTTTCAAAAGGTTCTGTACTCTTTTTTTTTTTTTTTTTTGGAAAAAAATCATTTGTTTTTCCCTCCTCAGAGGATCTGTGAAATTAGCCACTTAAATTGGGACTCATCTGACATAAGCAGGCAGCTAGAAAAGGGGTTTATCTGTTTCAGAGTCTGAGCACTGCAAAAGCTAAAACTTACATGTCCAACTCAATGAATGGAACTTTTCATGCTAATTAGTAAATCAGCAGTAGCTTACATTTATTATGAACTCAATTGACTAGTTTAGGGATTAAGTTATATTTAACAGCTKTCAGCATATTAAATTTATGAGAAATGTCCAAAAATGGGTGTCTAAACTCCCTGTCTTGAAATGTCCATCATAGATAAGCAGCTAATGGACATATGAATCAGAACCAGGGCATAGGTGACAGTGATTCTTCTCCCTTCCACATTTCAAGTGAATGTCTCCCCATCAGGCAGACAAAATTTTCTACTCATCCTCCTGAAAGCGTGCACTGTRCATCCAGAAAAAAATAATCTGGTCTTTATGGGCAGAGGATGCAAAACTAAGACAGACTTTGTAACCTAGTTTCATCCCTGGGTCTCTGGTTTCTTTCGGAAGAAAACTTTGACCCTTGATGGAGAGGGAGTTATAACACTCTCCAGCAGTTCCCACCCCAGTCAGCTGGGGAAWGCTATAAAGACACTCAATATGAATACTACACACTAATATATCTTATTGGGGACTGGGATTAGGTCCATTCATATCAGATACAGCTCTAGCCACCTGGTATTTTTGTTTAGGGTTCAGCAAATTGTCTCCTAAGAGACGTTGATATTTACCCTCAAAGAGTATAAGGCAAACTGATATCAGCTCTGTCTCAGCTGTCCTTGGTAGCTGGTGTTGAAAAAGGCAGACAGGCCAACAGAAAGGCAATCTCTTTAGATGTCCTAAAATTTGCCTATTGAAACAATCAGTCAGAATTTGGTGTTTCTCTTACTACTTGAATCACTCCTCGAATTGGCTTAGCTAAAACTCTTTGCATTTTAACCCCTTATTTTTATTTGATGAAATTTTTCTTGAGTATATGTATGGACATTTTATTAATCTGAAACAGTTCATTATGAATCTAGAAGTTTTGAAAACTCCTTGAGAAAAGTCTCTCTTCTACCATTTTTTTTTATGATTAGCAGAGAAAACAACTCCCACTCCTCCAACCGCCCACTGGCATGACCATMCATCTGCATTGCATATTGTGTCACAAATACATTCTCTTTAGTTTAGCATTTTTATTAAACAGTTAAAAAATTATTTCTTAATTGAAGTTTAAATAAATTTTCAAGGTTTTCCTTCTCTTCTCTTAGCTATTATTTTATCTGGTGTGGTGTTTGCACAAGATCCAGAGAAATCAAATAAACCCAAGAAGTAGATCAGGAAGAAAAGCCTGATAGATTAGTAGAATAGCTGATGCTGTAATATCTTCAACTCAAACCTCATGAAAATGCACAGTACTTTGAAATTTTAGAAAATATTTAAGAACAGTACTTTGTGTTCATGTGTTGACAAGATTTGTTGTCAGGAAACCCCAGTAGAATACTCTTTACTTTGTCCTCAAAGCAGTTAACATGAAACTAAACCTTTAAACAGAAAAGTCCCCTTACCTCCCATGCTATCACTAATTCATGTCTCCTTCCACTTCTGCCACTTACATTAGCTGGAGGAGTCTTTGGAACTGTGACGAAAAGGAAAAACAAAACAAAACAAACCAGAATATCCAAGTTATTGAAGTTTTCCCCATAGTAATAAGTTGCTGCAGAAGACATGAGACTGTTAAATCAGAACAGATATGAAAACATAGCACTMTGTGATAAAGAAAATTTGCTCAAGTTTTATTTCAGAGAATTGCACACRTAAGCTAGAAAACTCAAACAAAGCATAAGGTGAGAGTAAAAATAATGCTGGAATGAAAAACTGCTTAAGCACTAAATCTCTTGCAGATTGGTAAAAATTTCAATGCATAGATCGCCTAAGAGATAAAACAGGAAATATCTCATTAGGGGTTGTAATTTTTTAACAAAAAACTTGAAATTCCAGGAAACCTGGCATATTTCAGATTTCAGGTAAAATCTTAGGACATAACAATGCCTCTATTATTTTGCAGGTAGTTAATGATTTAGAATGTTTTAATTATGGTAAATGTATTTTTCACTTCTCTACCGGGGAGGCAATTTTTGGAAATTTTAGAGCAACCACCRTTAAACACCCCTCATGATTTGTTGCATATTGCTGGAAGCAGTCCTACCCACAGCTTTTGAAGGATTGAGCTCATCATTACAGCTTWAAAGCTTATGAGCAGCTGATGAAATTCTTTAAAATGATTAAAACTATCATCATCATTTTGATTTGGATTAACATATTTTGCAAAACCARGAATCTCAATTGTTCCATTGGAACYGTATAATTTCTTTTGCCTTGTTTAGTGCCTCTAATGAAACTCCCCAAGTGACCAATGTCTTGAGTTTATTTACTGTGAGGAGGTGATACTTCCATTCTCTATTAGATTAAATGTATCCTAAAATATAAACATTTTCTTTTCTTCTTTACAGCAGCACATAGGCCATTGGTAGAAATGTACTGAGAGTGTTTAGGCCTCATTTCATGTTGTTTAGGCCTTATTGCATGTTATTTAGCTTATTTATTGAGTAGCACTGTGCTTCTGAACTAGACCAAATAAAATGCATTTAAATAAATGTACACAGTCCTCTCTGTTTCTTGTGCTGGCCATTGTTAGATTCAGTTCAATGAAAARGCAATTTTAATAAATGCTGTCAGACCACCTAAAACTTCAACATTCATTTGTGTAGTCACTTTTTGAACCCTGAGCTCCATTATAAAGAACTAAATAAGCCTCATTCTGTTTCTCCTCATAAATGACACAGCCCTACAAAGAGTATGGATTCCTTCCTTCCTTCCTTCCTTCCTTCCTTCCTTCCTTCCTTCCTTCCTTCCTTCCTTCCTTCCTT